CTCTCTCTCTCTCTCTCTCTCTCTCTCTCTCTCTCTCTCTAAATAAGTAAATAAATAAATTAAATAAAGTATACTTAATTGATATTCCTAATGCCTCGGTCTCTCAATTCCTTGATTTCTCCAAGGATCTTGCCCTCTAGCCTAACTCAGCCACTCACTCCCTAGGTCATAGCCATGAGAGCCTTATCAAACTCTGCAGCTTGTTCATAACCATAGTTCCAAACATCACACACTCTGATCACCATCTCTTGTTTCTGGGTCACTCTGTGTAGTACAATAATCCTTCAGCTTTCACCTCTGCTGCCTGCCATTCTTATCCATCTCAAATCCCTGGCCAATCAGTGTAAACTCTTACACCTACCCTCAACCCCCCTTCTTCCTCCCTGTGTCTTCATTGCTTGGCAGAACCACCATCCTGATTCAAGCCAGCTCTCCACAGATTTACTCCACACCAGCACCCATGGATCTGAATATGGCTAGAGAAAGACAATCATACTGACTTGTTTCACTTGAATTTCATCACCATGAATCTTAAACCTTAGTGCCGCCCAGCAATCTTACTTCCATCCTCCATTCTTTCTAGATTTCATATTTTCTCTTTCCTCTAACCTACACATCCTCCCCTCCATCTCATTCTCAAAGAATAACCTTACTTACTGTTTCATTGACAGCATTGAAGCAATGATACAAAAACTACCACAATTCTACAATCACATCCACCCATACCCAGATGTCAGCCTCTTCTCAGCCTCCCCCTCCATTACATAGTTGAATTTCCATGGTGCTACCTAAGGTCATTCCCTCCACTAAGAAAATGTGTTCCAATCCTTCTTGTCTAATCCAGATCATCACCTTCACACTGTTTCCATATCTATTGGGTCATTTCCATAACCTTGCAAATGTTATTTCTCCAGTCCTAAAAGATTTTTTTGTCCCATTTCCACTGTCAGCTACTACCCATTTCTCTGCTTCCTTTGCAACAAAATTTCTATAGGAATTCTAATATTTTGTCCTAGTTCTTTTATTCTGAAGCAACATACACACAATGTGATTCTGTTTAAAGTTCAAAAACATGTCATACATTRTTTGTACATGCAGACCACACATGTAATAAAATCATATGAGGTTACATATGGAACATATTATAAGTTATCAGGTGAAGTGGTAGGTCTCCCACCATCTCTTCACCCATTCCATCATGGTTTCCTCCTTACTATTCTATGAATATTACTCAACAACAAAAATCATATTGGCTAAATCCAATGACCTGGTCTCAACTCTCATCTCAACTGATAACAGTTGACGAAACTAATCACTTGATTCACCCCTCCCCCACCATCTTGGTTTTCCTCCTCCCTGGTACATCCTTCCCTTTCCTCTTCTCTCACACCCCTTAGTCTTATAGTGAGTGACCCAAGACTCATTCCTTGGTCTTGTCTTTTTTAATCTATACCTACTTCCTTAGCGATCTCCTCTAGACACCTGACTTCCAGTGCCATCTAAGATATATGTTATTGAAGCCAGATTTAAAATTAGGTAGTCAGTGTAGTAAATCGGGTCTAATATGGAGTGAAATCTAAAATGGAGGCCATGCTGAGAATGAATTCAACTCCTGGAATGTTAATGAAGTCCAGGAAATAGCCCCCAACAGATTTAAAGATAGCCCATCCCAAAGAAATGTTAATAAACAGCCCCAGCAGATTTGAAGACAGCCAATCCCAAAGAAGTGTTAATGAAGTCCTTCCTGCCCAGATTACTTCTTTGGCCCACCTGTGTCCCACCCCTCTGGCCTTCCCACCTACCTTCCATCACCGAAAATTATAAAATGGAGAGACAACCGCACTTCCACGGATTCCACCTCTTGGGTCCCCTTCTTCCTCCTCGGGGAGAAGTCTTTTCTGCTGTCCTTTAATAAACTTCTAATTTCTACTCTGACCTTGCC